ATGTATAGGAGTGAAACAAAATCTCCAAATTCATGTCCACTTGTTGATAGTTGAACTACCCTTGCAAAAAAATTGCCCCACACTTGTTGTTTCTTGCTTTTCTATCATAGTAGTATCAAATAAGATATCTCTTCATCATTTGAAAAATCAGGAACAAAACTAAGTGTGGCAGCCTAGTGAGAATGTCTTCCCTCAATTTTGGAGGGCGATAATGTCTTTCTTTTGGATTTTGTATCATGATCCTGACATGTAAGTGTATCGTGTTTGAGCTCCAGTCGTAAGCTCAACAATTTTCGCTGCAAAACATATATTAAGGAAAAACATCAGATATTTGAGATGAAATGATGATGACAAGAAACTAAGGCAGATATATAGATAAATATCAAGCGCACCTGTAAGAAATCCTATGATGGGTACAGGTTCCAAAACTTTCTCTGTGCTTTCAAGTTTTCGTCTAAAAAAACATTCGCCAGGGAATTTTTAGTATCATATTGCAATATACAGTGTGTAGAAAAGTGAAAGGAAGTTAAAAAAAGAATAAAAAAAATGAGAGTAGAATGTGAAATCATTGGTACCTAGTATATTTGCTGAAAAATGGATCTCTCATTAGGTAGAGTACAAATAACAGCTTCCGTCGTTTAACCTGCAGCAAAACTATGTCAGCAGTAGATCTTTAATGGGAAGGTAAAGTTAGTCCTATGGCAAGAGCATCTTATGTCGTATCTTTCTAGGCATTGTTTGGGTAAAAAGCTTATTTAAATGCTTATAGCACAAACACTTATCATAGTAAAGTGTTTATGCACATATTATTTCTATAACAAAAGATAAAAATACAACTAAACTGTTTTTATATAATAAGCTGTAAGTTGTCCTGAAAAAAGCTTATGAAAATAAGCTATAAACAACTTATAGACTAGTAAGTTATTTTCAAAAGCACTCTCTCTCAAACATTCTTCCGAATGGTTATGTTAGTAAACAAGTTTAAATAAGTCAACCAAAATAAAACCTAAGTTAAAACAAACCTCATCCTTTTCTGGAGCAGAAATATGAATCACTTTCTGATTTTCGCCCGCCACTGTCGTTGTAATAAGTGAGAGAATACAGTTTGATATGGTATCAATAGCCAGTGAAAGGAACCAAGGGGTCCATGACCGAATGCCGTATTTTCGAATAAATAAAACATAGATAAGTGGTCTAATAATAAATAGGACTTCTCCAATCAAAAACAAAGCTCCTCGAAACCCCTTTTTCGACAATATGGTGGAAAGTGTAGGTTTCACTACCCTTGAAGCTGTAACAATACAGTGGAAAACAAGTATTATTAGAATTTCACATATATTACAATAAGAGATTAATTCCAACTCACTCGTGTAAATTATTTTTATGTGTATCCAATCAAATTACATCATGATGTCGCTTTGTTATTTTTTTTCTTGAAATATCTCTACAAATATCTACATGGTGAAATGCAGATTAAATGCACGTGTAAAAAAATTTAACACTAACAGTGAATAAAAATTAAATCCTTATAATTATAATCTGTTTCTTTACAGAATAGTGCTAAAAGTATCTTTAGAACAGACTACCGGCGGGTTCCACGATAGCTTGTTGGTGTTGAACCCTACGTAACCACACCGGATCTGACACCATCCTTGCTTTTTCTCCAAATTGACTTAAAGCAGACAGTGCTCTTGCTTCCAGATTCCACGGGTTTGTTCCAGCATTGTAACGCCCTTTTGGGTTTGCGGCAATTTGATGTTGTGAAGTAGAATCATCATTAGACGTCTCCCCTCCATGTAACAGCATTTTATATCCACTCTTTCGGAACAAAGATAACCGAACCAGTACCCTGAGTAAGAGTGACGCAAGATAATAAGAAAAAAGAGACGGATGATTACAGATATAAAACGACATCTTCAGGAGAATATGCCAAATTAATTGCATTGGGCTGCTTACTTGATTCCTTCGGTAACAGCAAGGAAATTCCATTTCCTATCATCAACATAGTAATGTTGTGCCACGACTTCAACTAACGTTTCCAAATCCTTTAATGCAGATAAGCATAATGGATAAGGGAATGAATTAGGCTCAACAGAGCCTGTAATATTTTGGTCAGGAGCACTATCAATTATATGTTCATTGATAGCTGTGACGATTCCCAGAACGGTAGTCACTACATGAAATCATATATCTTCTCAGTAAGGTACATGTTTCTATAACAACAGAAAAGTAAGTAAAATATATACTATAAGAAAGACACAACTAGTTTAAACTTTAAAGACAGTGCCGGTAAACTACTAAACAAGGAAAATGTAATAAGATTTAAAAACTTGCAACAGGAATCTAGCACAAGGCCCACTCAACTAAGTTATTTGTTTTCCCTAGTTAGTGTTTTGATGATCATTAAAATTTAATTGTTGATAGAAGCTTAATTTCGTGTCAGCTCAGTTTTAGAAAAAAAAATTCTTCCCATTTTGTCACTAACAGAAAGAGTCTTATAAGTTATACTACTTTTTGAATCAAAAGAAGTAGCCAAAAGTTACCAAAAATTCACAAAACCTGCTTCTGGTCCAATCTCTGATTCAGAAAACCGTTCAGGAAGAAGCCATGTCAACCCCTGTCCACATATTCAATCAACAAATAAGATAACAAGTTGTGTACAAATGCTCATATACAACAATGTTTCAACAATGTCCTTCATAGATTTGTTTCGGCAGACAATAACAATCTAACACGGTCACTACACAGATTCTGACATGCTCTGACATGCTGACACAAATTTGAAAAAAAAATTACACAATTCAACATAATCATATATGTAGGTGTCGTGTGTCAGTGTGAGACAGACACCAGAGATGACTTCGAATAAAACTATCATGTTACATAATCATAAAACTGGTTATTTAATTTGTTTTAAGATTGCATTTATCAGTGAAGCAAGAACCCAAACTTTTGAAGGATTATACGAATCTTTAGGGAGAATTTTTTTTTATATAAGCTTGCTAAGGAAAGAGAAAGAAAAACAAAAAATTTGAATCAAAGTGAAGTGTGTTAAAGATGAAGAAGGCAAAGTTTTAGTTCATGAAAAAGATATAAAGGATAGGTGGAAGAAGTATTTCTACAATTTATTTAATGAAGGATATGATATCTCACCGGACTCTAACAAGCTCGACATTAAGGAAGAGGATCAAAATTATAACTACTATAGTCGAATTCAGAAACAAGTGGTAAAAGAAGCGTTGAAAAGGATGAATAATAGTAAGGTGGTTGGACGTCACAACATACCTATTGAAGTGTGGAAAATTCTTAGAGATAGATGCATTGGGTGGCTCACCAAACTCTAACGAAATTATGAGGTCAAAGCAAATGTTAGATGATTGGAGAAGAAACACTTTATTTCCAATCAATAAGAATTGGATCGAACGGAGTCATACTATGAAGTTATGGGGGAAAAAAAAGAGTCGAATAAGGATTTAAATGAAAGGTTGGAGACGAGCTTTAAAAACGCATGACTTTCACCAAAGCAGAAATAAGATGGAGTATATGGAATGTAAGTGCAATAAAAGGAAAAGTGTTTCTAACATAGAGGTCAAAGTTGGAGATCATATCATCCAACAACTCACGCGATTTAAATATCTTGAGTCTGTAATACAAAACGATGGAGAAATAAAATGGAGTGTAAACCATTGAACTCAAACTGGGTGGGTGGCTGAAATAGAGGAAGGCTTTAGGGATTTTATGAGACACAAAGGTATTGTTAGAGTCGAAAGGAAATTTTTTATCGGATCGCGGTAAGACCTACAATGTTGTACGGAACAAAATGTTGAATTGTTAAGAATCAATACGAAAATAAGATAAATGGAGCAGAGATGAGGATGTTGTATTGGATGTGTGGTAGGACCAGACAAAATAAAATTCGAAATAACAATGTTAGTGAGAGTGTTATGGTAACACCTATAGTAAAAAAGATGGTGGAAAATAGATTTAGGTAGTTTGAGCATGTAGAGAAAAGACCTATAAATTCTATGATAAGGAGAGTAGATCAGATAGAGGGGAGTCAAACAGTTAGAGATAGAGGAAAACTTAGAAAAACTATAATAGAAGTTACTAAGAAAGATCTTGAAATTAAGGATTTAGATAGAAGTATGATCATTGATAGAACATAATGGCAGTAGTTAATCCATGTAGCCGATTCAACTTTGTGGAATAAGGCTTAATTATAGTTGTTGTTTGCATTTTCAGTGCTATCTTATGAACATTTTTACCGATTAACTCCAATTTGTATGATTTTATGAAGGAAATATCGATATTTCCATTTTCAGCAAAAGAATCATAACATAGCACTTAATGCAACAATAACCAAAACTAACAAACAACTAAATCCATAACAGAATCACCATTTTCCTCTAGTTTTTGGATTACCCTTCACCAGTCATAGAAATTGCAACAAGTACTTATTAACAAGCTACATAGCACGAACACCAATACGATACCGAAACACGTGAATACATTCAATCACTTCTAGTTATCTTAAATTCTTACTTGTATCTATCTACAAGTCATTGTAATTGATAACAACACAAAAGCATAATCATTCTAAACAATTCACTATGCATATGAAACAGATTCTAAGAATAACATCGTAAAAGAGTTAATCGAAAACAGAAACTTACATTGGCCAAAGATTCTAAAGAGTGCACGTACTCTTTGTTCTGTCTCACCCATCTCTTATAACCTTCCATAGCTTCAAAAACTCCGAAAAAACTACAAAAACAAAAAATTCATATACTGAGAAATAAAATCACTCTCGAATTCAAACTCAGAAGGTTCTGGAACATCTTCTGGATGATGATCTGAATACCTGAAAACAGTAAGAAAGCATAGGCTTCATGTTAATAAACACAACCTAAAATTAACCTTTTTTTTTTCAACAATAATAGAAAAAAGCAGAAAATTTCACAAATACAAATTAATAAACCATACCATAGTTTTGAGGTAATTCATATTTCATCGCGCTTAACGACACCAGCTTTTTCAGTGCATAACCAATCTATATAAAGTCGAGAAAATAACAAAATAGTCAATTACCTTGCAGTTAAGCAATTGTTCTAATTTTCTTCACAATTCACATTATAATAGAGAAAAGACATTCAGGTTAGGGGTTTGGATTTGACTTTGGAAATCCGGAGTTTTGGCGGAGAAGGAGGAGGAAATGCGGTGAAGCGGACTAATGAAGCTGAAGGAGAAGTAATAGAAGGTAAGGCGGAGCGGAGAAAGGACGTGTTCCAGCGGCTGGTGGTAGGTAGCAGGGAGATTGAGTGGCTAGCTGGAGATTGAGAGTCGCAAGGAGGATGAAGGAGAAATTTTGTTCTGGTTTTTTTTTCTCTCAAGATGTGATATAAACCCTACATTTTATTTTTAATTATTGAAATATATATATATTTAGGGATAGTTTTGTAATTTAATATATAAGCGGGTCTGGTTTCGGGTTTCGGGTGCGGGTTTAAGCTATCCCAAACCCACACCCGAAATATCGGGTGGCACCCGAACCTAAACCCAGTCAATTCGGGTTTCACCCGTTGACTCGGGTGCGGGTGGGGCCCGCGGGTTTGGGTCTGCTTGCCATCCCTAGGGAACAAAAAAAACAAGACAGTATCTCCTTCTCAGATCCAAACGAAAACACCCTTCTCTCTTCAAATCTCACTTTTTTCCTCAAATTCAAATTCAAAATCAAAATTTACAACCCAATCTAAAAAACAAGAGCAGCACAAGGATTCAATATGGGTCAAAGGCATTAAAGGAAAAAGTAGGATCTTTACCGATCACAAAAGCAAGAGATAGTGATGAATCTGTGTTGTGGGGCGGTTTTTTTACAAGTGAGTTTCCGGCAACGTGGCTGGTAGTTGTCCATCGACTGCGATTGCATGATATATTCTGCGCATGGTGGTGGATCGTGGCTGAGTCGGTGTTGTTCTGAAGGCGCGGCGGAAGGAGGGTCGCGTGTGGTTCAGAGGTCAGTGGTTTTGGACCTGCAGCGGCGGTGGAAGCAAGCTCTGTTCTTCCAACTCCTTCTGGTTCCCTTCTTTTCAAAACAAACATAAAAAATTGAAACGGGCCTGGCGTTTCCGTTGTTGGGCCCTGAACAAAAACTCTTTCAACCCTTCTCTCTTAATCAAATAAAATTTATTTTAATCCTTCATATAATGTTTTAATTAATAATAAAACAATGTTTATGATTAAAAATAGTTCTCAAAACAAACACAAACGGGTCTTATTGCAATTACTTATTGGGCCTGGTATTTTCAAAACCAAAGAAACAAACCAATTCTTTTTAGATGGATTCTAAAAAAAACTAAATGGATTATTACTTGATGGGCCAAAAAGAAAATTAATTCATTTGGGCCTCTAAAGAAAAATATTGCTTTTATACATCCTCCTTTGTATTGAACCGAATTAAAAAGAAAATATGGGCCTTTTCTGATTGAGAAAGGCCACCTCTTTTACAAAATAAATCTCTCTTTGATTTTAAACAAACCTCCATAAAAATAAAATTTAAATAATATGAATTATTTAACTAAAAAACCTAAATATAATATTAGGATAGGGCAAATTTGGGGTATGACATTAGGTCCATGTATTTTTCAATATATTTTTTTAATCAAACGTTAACCAAGTTAATAATAATTTGACATTTTTCGTGAGAAGACTAAAAGTTAATCAATCTCATTCAAACCATTTTTGTCGCTTTGGCTTTTTACCTTAAAATTTTTTCTCAAAAGATTAGACTCTTGTCAAATCCTTGTAGTGATGCGAACTACTATACTTCTACGATATGTAGTAAAGTGAGATATTTTTCACTTGGGTGTTGAGGGAGGCTTTGTTGATTTTAAAATTCAAGTTATATCCTCCACTTTGAGATGATGCAAATTCTCCTTTCTCATAATCGTGGGTAGTAAGTATGTTCTTCCACTCGAATAAGATGATGATGTCTCGTCTCTTAAAATTAACCAACACACATGTGTTTTAAAATTTTTAAAGGTGAACTACGAGTACCCTGATCTCCTATTGCATAGAAGGTGGTACGTAGGCACTAAAGGTTCGCAACCGCGGTGGGTGCAAAAATTGTAAAATATATTTCTTTTCTCATCCCCACAATCTATTTTGTATACAACATTTATAACCAAAATACACAAATTTTCAAAGAGGTTCATACGAAGTACCATAGATGTTTAGGGTGCTAATACCTTCCCTTTGCATAACCAACCCCCGAACTTAGATTCTCTCTCCCTCTTTTTGGTTTATTCACTCTTTTCCCATTCCATTGGAAACAATAAAGAGTCGTGGCGATTTTGCGATTTTTATTTCATTTGTGCGAGTTAAGTCAATACAATGGCTTAGTCTAGACATTTCTACCGCTATAGAAAAAAATGGCGACTTCACTGGGGAAAGATTGAACAAATGTTGGTCCATCCCTAAGTGCGTTGAGCCTATCTTTGTTTATTTGTGTATGTGCTATTGTTGTTTATATGTTATATGTTGTATATATGTTTGTCTGGATTTTCCTTGTTTACATGGTGCTTAGTGATTTCTCATAAGTCATATACTCGGACTTGGGCAAACTTAAGATAGGACGGGCGATATAGTCGTGTTAACTTTGAAGGAGTAATCCCAAAAAAGGAGGCATGAGATCCCCAACCCAATGGAGGCCCCTTAGACTGTAGTGTTGTTTACCGAGTAATCGGGAAGACATGCTGCTTTCGACCTGGGAGCTTGCTAAAACTGAGGACCATAGAACCTTTAACCTATCTTGGTCTTTTAGGTGTAATGCGAAAAATATGATGGAGTAATCCGGAAATGGTTGTCACGTGATACTACACTCAGACGAGTTTTTCCTGAGAATATTACTAATTACCGAGTCAATTGGGACATTGGTAATATTCGAAGGAAAAATGTAGACTCTGAGAACCTTTTAGAACCTTGTTCGGCAGGTGATAAACTATTAGACCATACCTTATGGGTAATAACTTTGACTTCATGCTCGTGACATCAAACCTGTGAACCCCGTGTTTGTGATCGTGTGTGATTGTTGCATCATGCATTCATGCACCCATGGACATCCTTTAAGACATTTTGGTTCAAGGGACTTAAAGTTGACTTTTAGCGAATATATCAGGTACTTTTGACCATGGATTCTGGAAAAAGAAAGACTCGGAAGTACAATTTCAAGAATCCCAAGATAGATGATTTGATGAGTCTAATTCCCGAGATTAAGAGTTCTACAGATTTTCGAAAGAAGTATGGATCTATTGTGTCTCTCAAGAAGATCATGATGAAGGAGGGTATTATCTCAACTTTGGTCCAGTTCTATGATCCGATATATCGATGTTTCACTTTCCCTGATTATCAGTTGGTGCCTACATTAGAGGAGTATTATTATCTACTGGGCTTACCTATTATCGATCGTGTTCCTTTCACTGGTTTGGAGGGGGCCAAAATCTCATGAGATTGCTGCTATGGTTCATTTGGGGAAGTCTGAGATTGAGGCCCACATGACTACCAAAGGAGGAATTAGAGGATTATCCACTCAGTTTTTATTAGAAAAACCTTGCTACTTTACTAGGATGAAGAGTACAATTGCTTTTGAAGTTATCTTGGCTCTGCTTGCTTATGAGTTGTTCTTATTTTCGACCATCGACAACTTTATGGATATCAATGCCATCAGGATCTTTTTGATAGGGAATCTAGTCCCTACATTAATAGGAGATACTTATTACTCTATTAATCTTTAGGATTCTTATCATGGAGGGATGATCATTTACGGCACGCCTTTGTTGTATCAGTGGTTTATTTCTCACTTACCTCAGTCTGATGCTTTCTGGGATGCCAAGAAGGAACCTCATTGGTCGCTAAAGATTATGACCCTCACTCATTCAGATATTGTTTGGTATCACCAGGCTTACCATGATGTAGATATTGTCGATAGTTGTGGTAGTTTCCCCAATGTACCTTTTCTTGGTACAAAGGGAGGAATTAACTACAATCCTGTTCTTGCACGACAACAGCTTGGATATCTGATGAGAGATAAGCTTAATAATATTCATCTGAGTGGTTTCTTTCTCAAAGAGGGAGAGGATTATAAGAAAGCTAAGGAGGAGATTGCAAAGGCTTGGCGCCATGTTCACAGAAAGAGTAGAAAGGACTTGGGACCTAGAGGATTTGTTTCTTTGTAGCCTTATCTCTGGTGGGTTCAAGCAATGGCAATTCAGTTGAATATGTCTTATTCACGTGAAGCACATATGCCTAATATGTTTGTGAAGACCACTCCTCCCATTTTATATGGTGTGGAAGAGCTTCAGCTTTCCCTAGTTAGGATGCAATAGGAGAAATAAGCTTGGAAGAATAAGTGTCAGACTTTAAATATGTCCTACCGAGAAGACTTGAAGGAAAAGAATGACCTAATTGAGATTCTTGAGAGTCGTGTTGTAGAGATGATGGAGAGGAAAGATAATTCATTTTCCTCTAAAGCTCAATCGGGACTTAGTCATTCACTTCCTGACTCTGGTGATTGGAAGGTGGTTACCGACAGGTATGCAGAGGAGAATAAGCAGTTGAAGGCACATATTGCAAGACTCACAGGAAAGCATCAGTGTGTGGAGTGATCTTCATCAGCTTTTCTTTTTTTAGGATTTTAGATTCTATCTCTTCTTGTACTTGGGATTATTGAAACTTATACTAAAAAGTTGTAATCCATTTTGAAGTTATTATAATGAGATTTTCAGCATTTCAAAATGTGTTGGTACTTTAATATTTGCAAAATTGTCTATAAATATTTGAGTTCCTTGAAATATTAATAATAATCAATAAATCATGTGCATCGCATATCATGCATCGTCTGGTACATATTTATTGCATTTGTGTTCATACCCAGGTGTCTTACTGAATTTCTCTACTTTGTTCAGCAAGCTGTCTCACCGGTACAATACTCGAGCTAATTCCAAGAAGAAAATGGAGAATCTTGAATAAGAGAATCGTGAGTTGCATAAAGAAGTCACTGATTTGAAGGCCGGTATGGCTAATCTGACTGCTTTGATGGAATCATTAATGGCTGCTGAGAATCAACCACCACTTGCTTAGCCTCAACAAATAACAAATGCTTCTAAAGGTCCATCAGTTCTCATTTTGTTACCGCGGTAACGGTTGCTTAGAACCGTATGCCTCAGGGTTACCCATAGGGAATGCCTGAAAAATTCATTCCAGAAGGTTTTAATCTTAACACTCTAGTTGTTCCAGTTATGCAAGATGTTGTTATTCCTGCACCTCATGTGGTACATGTTACTCCTGCTGCTAGAAATGAGATCCACTATACGGCATCTCCTTCGATGAATGTTATGCCATTTGTTAATGATGAAGTTTATCGTCATGTTCTTCCACCGAGTGAAAGTGTGGGTTTCTATGACAAGTTGGATGACTTTCAAGACCAGTTCAATGAGATGCAGAAGAAAATGAAGGCCCTCCGAGGAAAATAATTGTTTGGACAGAACGTCAGTGAACTCTGCCTAGTTCCCAATGTAAAGGTGCCAACGAAGTTTAAAGTGGCGGAATTTGAGAGGTACAAGGGTAACTCTTGTCCTCATGACCACCTTGTGATGTATATCATGAAAATGTCTACTTATACTGATGATTAACATTTCCACATTCATTTCTTCCAAGATAGTTTAACTAGTGCTGCTTTGAAGTGGTATATGAGTCTGGACAATAGCAGTATTCATACCTCCAATGATCTGGGAGAAACCTTTATCAAACAGTATAAGTACAATATATTCATGGCGTCTGACCGTGACCAATTAAGGGCAATGGCTCAGAGAGACAAGGAGTCGTTCAAAGAATATGCACAGAGATGGTGCGAGATAGCTGCCCAGGTGGTGCCACCTATGGGAGAACAAGAAATGACCAAGGTCTTCCTGAAAACCCTTGGATCATTTTATTACGAAAGGATGGTAACCAGTGCGCCGAGTGGTTTTACAGAAATGGTAAGCATGGGTGTTCGTTTGGAAGAGGCTGTTAGAGAGGGTCATTTGACAAGAGATGAAGGGACAAAGAAGTCATCGTACGATTTCTGTCGAAAGAAAGAAAGTGAAACAAATGTTGTTATTGGAGAA